TCTGTGTGGGGGGGGGGTTGAAGTGGAGCTTGTGGTAGAGCTTGAGGTGGAGTCTGTGGTGGTGCTTGTGGTAGATCCTGACGTGGAGCCTCTAGTGAGTCAGTCTTATGGTTGGGCTTGTGGCAGGTCTTGCGGTGGGTCTTGTGGTGGAGTCTGTGGTGGAGCCTGTGGTGGGTCTTGTGGTGGAGCCTGTGGTGGGTCTTGTGGTGGAGCCTGTGGTTGGTCTTGTGGTGGAGCCTATTGTTGGTCTTGTGGAGGAATCTCTGGTTGGTCTTGTGGTGGAGCTTGTGGTGGGTCTTGTGGTGGGACTTGATGTAGGCTTTGAGGTGGTGCTTGAGGTGGAGCTTGTGGCCCTGGAAGTGAAACTTGATGTAGGCCTTAAGGTGGAGGTGGATGACTGAGGTGGGGTGTCATCGGGATTGTCCTCTTCACCGGGATTGTCCTCTTCATCGGAATTTTCCTCTTCATGGGAGGCGCTGATGGTTTTAATGAAGTTAAGGTTGAAGTCAGAGCCTTTGGCCTTGCAGACAACTGCCTCAAAAAGAAAAACGCATATGGATGAAGGTAACCTCATAGCTGCATATCATGTGACATGGAAATATAGCCTCCTGAACAATCTGAAGGAAAAGTAACTCTATTACTCACGTCTAGCGACAAGATCAATTCTTCTCCCAAGACCTTAATGTCCTGAAACCGTGCAGCCTCCAGCTTGGCCTTCAGCTCACATTTACTCATAAACCGTCCCTCAGTCACACTGGATCCCAGCAGAACCAGAAGCAACATCTTCATTGAGAGAATTTTCTTCATCTCTTTCTGCTCTGAAATCTGGAGATTAAACACACAGGAAAGTGAATGCAGAGATAAATATGATTATTTTGTTAGGCTTCACACTTTTTTGCTTAAGTACATTTATATTTAAGTCGGTATGTAACTTGCAAACAATCTTATATTTACTGAGAATTCACCTTGTTAATATGACTGTATAGCAAGTGGAATGATGAAATAAAAAATAGTTTATTATTTTAGCTCTAAAATGCAAAAAATACATGCATGTAGATTATGAAATAGATAAGACTGTTTCAATTTATCAGACATTTATCATTTCGTGACAACCCTGCAATCATCCAGAGACAAGAACCATATTAAAATGAGTCTTCCCATTCTGTTGTTGGAGATACAGATGAATGAGTCTTCAAATGTTCCTCAGTCTTCTTCTGTACCCATCAGACTTACATATGTTTGAATCGCCTGTACTTTTGGTTCATTCCACCATTATTGATATTTCTTAGAATTTTCGTTTAACATGTTCCAAAAGACTTATCAAGACGTCAAGCCAAATGTACAATTAAAGCACTGATTCAAAACAAAAGATTTGCAAAGCTCTACCATCACTAGTAAAACATCCACATAATAAAATGATATGGAAAAATATCTTAAAACAATTATTTTTGAGAGATTCGATTTTAACAACCTAATCACGGATCACCTAATCAATATTTAAATGTATATAATCTAATTGGAAACCATTTTGTAATGTGATTTTAGCAACACTTCAGTAAAAAGCCAGGTCTTCTAACACAGCAGTGCATGGTGTGAATTGCTCGTTGTCACATATCTGTTTAGCCTGTACAGCATGTTCAATTGCAGGCCAAAGTCCAGCATAAAAGTCTTTAGATTTATAACTTAAATATGGGCTTTTGGTGTCATCCGCTTACGGTTATTTTGGTACACAAAACTTTAGGTTATCTTGCTGTTCTAGTTATTTACTCATTAGCAACTAATCAATCAGAAGTATTACACATTCACAGAAAAAAGCTTACTTCCAAAATAAGATGGATAGCCCCAGATGACTGAAACAATTGCATGAGTAGAAATGGTGGAACAATATCAAGTAAAGGCCAATAACAAAGTCAGAGACTTTGTCACAAAATGTCAGATATCCTCAAATAAACTTGTAACATGATTTTTTTGGCTACATCCCGTCCAATATGCAGTCAATCCTGAATAATTGGCCTCTATGAAGCACCTTTGATACCAGCTTACACATCTTTATTTGAGGCCATAACTGTTTATGGCATACAATTAATAAACAGCTCAGAGACCAATATTACACAACAAACAGTCATTCTCTTCACTGCCAGGCTTCTTAAAACAAGCTGCACTGACGGTGAATTGTGGAAAAATGGTCTTATTCTCCATTTTAATTATTTTAGCCTGTCTGCATGTCCACAGTGTAAGGAGTGCTATCGGTAAGTAAAATTTATCCACAACCAGCTGAAGTAACAATATTAAATTCAAACATTTGGATGTGATGCCTAACCTTTTAGTAGTTCCATTTAATTCTATCGATTGTCTGTCGTTTAAAAGCATGTGTTTTAAAGGACAAAGCTCTTCTAATGAATTAAAATGCCTGTCAGAATTTAATAGGAAACAATTTTGCTTACTAATATAAGTGGAGTGATTTAAGATTAAATTACATGAGTTTGGACAATGGAGTTTTCACCAATTCATATTCGTTGTTAAATCAATACACTGTATGATTTAATGTATTTTGTGCTACTGAGTTCAGGACTTTAGCTGTTTGTTAAATTCTTAAACCAATGACTTGTTACTGTTTAAGGTTCCACGCAGATAAACTGTGCAACTGGAACTAATATCAATGTAGGGAGCGTCCTGGAGGGATATGAAGGTGAGATATGCCCACATGACTTAACTGAATAATATTAGTCCACGCTACTATTGCAAGTAAAAAACAATATTTAAAGAACAACACTGATATTATCTAGTATTTATGTTTTAGATTGTGTGTTAGAATATGCATTTAAATGTGTATTTAACCTGACCTAAGGTGATGTAGAGATTCTCACTAATATCGGACCAAATGATCGTCTGCTTCTGGAGGCATATCTCTTTCCTATTGGTTTGGAATTTCTGGAGCTGATTTATTCTGATGGAGATTCAACCGCTACTGTACGAACCAAAAAACCTCTGGACGCTGATGAACTAAAGGAGGTTTGTTCCAGCCTCACTGATTCATTGAGTTGGTAGAGTCTCAGCTAGTCTCTACTGACTTAACTAAGCTTTCTTTACCAATTCTGACATAGCTGATAATATTGCTTTTTTTTTTTCCACTCTTTGTATGTTTTATTTCTTCTAGCATGGAGAGAAATTATATTATTCAGTCACCTGCTCAGGAGGGGTATGTTTATTTAAACAACAACATTATGAAATAAGGCAAAGCATTATAGAAATAAATATCCAGCACATAAACCTTGACTAAAAAGTTTTGATTGTTCATTTCAGGTGCAAAACATCCGGACGGTAGACGTTCTGGACGTCAATGACAACCCTCCGATCTTCCAGAGCAAGTAAAACATCCACATAATAAAATATGGAAAAATATCTTAAAACAATTATTTTTGAGAGATTCGATTTTAACAACCTAATCACGGATCACCTAATCAATATTTAAATTTATATAATCTAATTGGAAACCATTTTGTAATGTGATTTTAGCAACACTTCAGTAAAAAGCCAGGTCTTCTAACACAGCAGTGCATGGTGTGAATTGCTCGTTGTCACATATCTGTTTAGCCTGTACAGCATGTTCAATTGCAGGCCAAAGTCCAGCATAAAAGTCTTTAGATTTATAACTTAAATATGGGCTTTTGGTGTCATCCGCTTACGGTTATTTTGGTACACAAAACTTTAGGTTATCTTGCTGTTCTAGTTATGAATAATATTAGTCCACGCTACTATTGCAAGTAAAAAACAATATTTAAAGAACAACACTGATATTATCTAGTATTTATGTTTTAGATTGTGTGTTAGAATATGCATTTAAATGTGTATTTAACCTGACCTAAGGTGATGTAGAGATTCTCACTAATATCGGACCAAATGATCGTCTGCTTCTGGAGGCATATCTCTTTCCTATTGGTTTGGAATTTCTGGAGCTGATTTATTCTGATGGAGATTCAACCGCTACTGTACGAACCAAAAAACCTCTGGACGCTGATGAACTAAAGGAGGTTTGTTCCAGCCTCACTGATTCATTGAGTTGGTAGAGTCTCAGCTAGTCTCTACTGACTTAACTAAGCTTTCTTTACCAATTCTGACATAGCTGATAATATTGCTTTTTTTTTCCACTCTTTGTATGTTTTATTTCTTCTAGCATGGAGAGAAATTATATTATTCAGTCACCTGCTCAGGAGGGGTATGTTTATTTAAACAATAACATCATAAAATAATTAAAGCAAAGCATTATAGAAATAAAGATTCAGCACAAAAACTTCGATGAAGTCTTCATTGTTCATTTCAGCTAAAAAACATCCGGACAGTAGACGTTCTGGACGTCAATAACAACCCTCCGATCTTCCAGAGCAAGTCATACAGCGCCACAGTGTCAGAGGTGTGTGTAATGTCACGTCTCTATACAGCTGTAGTGTGTTTGGTCACTGAGAGATCTCACTTCTCTTAGTAAACCCTGTCTTTTACTCCAGACGATGACTGTGGGTTCAGATGTGCTCAGGGTGAGGGCTGACGATGCCGATGTCTCTCCAGAAAACAACAGAATTACGTATTCAATACTGGTGGGTCGTGAACAATTCTCATGAATTTGATATATACAATAGGCTGCATTGTGCAACAGCTATGTAAGCTCAGCTTGTGTCATTTTAATTGATCACTGCCACTCTATTAACAGTCTCCAGTACCAGATGACTTTGAAGTGAGACAGGACGGTAACATCAGGTTGAAACAACGTCTGAACTACAACAATGTTCAACAGTACATCTTCACTGTGAAAGCTGAAGTAAAAGACAAACTTTCTCACATCCTACCAGTCCTGCATCCACATCATTATGATCACTAAATTTCAAAATATTGCTCGTCTATCATTCGAAGCATAGTTCTGTCATCATATACTCACTTGTGGAACTCAAAAAGAGATGTTTAGAAGAATGTCCAAGCTGCTTTTTCCATACAGTAAAAGTGTGAGGATCAGGAAAGGCATTGGTGATGACAGGATTATGATTTATGGACTGAGAACTATCATTTTAAGGTTGATAGTAATTCAACACTACATAGTAAAAATGTTGGGTTGCACATATTGGATCACTATGTTGGGTTATTTAAAAAAATATATTATTATTATTATTTTTAGATTGTTGGGTTATTTTAGTAGCAATCCAGCAAGTTAAAATAAAGTATAGCTTCTGCAGTGACAGTTAAAATTTATACAGTCCAGTCAAGAGACACCAGCAGCAGCTTAATTATGAAAGGTAAAGTTTTTTATTTATTTATCTCTTATTAATTATTACTTACTAAATGTGAAATATATCCCAAAACCTTTATCTTTGTCATTTTAAAATAAAGTTAAAATTCCTTGACAGTTTTATTGCATAATGTCCTGAACTCCAGAGAATGAGATGTAAATGAATACACTTTTCCAGCTTCCTAAAATTAATAACTATAAACCATTAGCATATAGATAGATAGATATTGATATGTGTATTTGTTTTTGAATTTTCTCTCTCTTGTATTTGATAAAAATCTGTATATTTTATATTTAAAAAAATGTTTGCTATTGTTATTATATCAAATAAAGATTTGGTATTTGAAAACAAAGTACAAAATCAATTTTAATGTCATGAAAAATTATAATAATAGTAAATTCAGTGGTTGGGTGACTTTCAACCCAACTGACTGAGATGAGATTGTTTCATTAGGTTAAAATAAGCAGTTGGGTTACTAGTGGGGTTATTTTTAAGTGAGTTTGATCTCTTGCAGGATAAAGGAGGACTCAGTGACACAACAACTGTTACAATAACGGTGAAAGATTTTGACAACCTAAACCCTTATTTTGATCACAGTCTCTATGAAGCATCCATTGAGGAAAATCAGGTAAACGACATTTCAGAACGATTAAAGCTTTAAATCCATGTCTGACCGAACAAATAAAACCCTTTATGTCTTTTTTTTGTCTGTGCCCAGGCAGGACAATTGTCAGACTTCACTCCTGAGGAAATAAAAGCTCAAGATGGCGACACGGGCATCAACGAGCCTGTCGTTTACAGCATAACAGCAGGTGCCATTAACAGAATTACATGACCTGTGCCCTAATCTAATCAATAAACAATAATGTTTCTTAAACCGATCTAAATAATGAAATGATCTGAGTTACATTTCTGATAATAACAAAGCACATATATCCATATTTCCGTTCCAGTCCTTCCAAATGAATATCAGAGCAACTTTGAAATCGACCAAAACAGTGGCGTCATCTCCGTGATAACAGCACTAGACAGAGAGGAAATTGACCAGATAACGGTTTACATACAGGTATAGCACGTTTCTAAAGTCATTCATTTAAAAAGATGATGTTATGAATCTGAAGAGATTTCAGTATTTTGATTCTTCATGTTTTCTCATCAATGTTTCCTTGTAAAAACAGGCAGCTCAGCAGGATGATGCCAGTAAGACGGCAAACACTGTGGTGTCTGTCACCATTGAAGACGTGAATGACAACCCGCCAAAATTTGAGCAGGATGAGTACACGGTGTCTATTCTGGAAAATTCACCACAGGACCAGTTTGTGCTTCAGACTAGAGTCACTGATCTAGACCTGGTACTGTTCCTGAAAACCTCACTGTCTGTTTGTACAAATAAATAATAAAAAAGTAACACTTTATTTTAAGGACCAATTCTTATTAGCATGCATATTACTAGCATATCGGCTGTTTATTAGTACTTATAAAGCACATATTAATGCCTTGTTCTGCATGACCAGATTTTAGATCCCTTAATCCTCGATAGTTAATAGTTAGTTAATAGTGAGAATTGGTCCCCAAATTAAAGTGTGACCAAAAATACACACTCACAAACACTAAAAGGACGAATCTCATCAAAACTGACATGAAATGTCTAGGTTATAAGTATACAAAGATCTACACTGTAAATAATCCTCAAACTTCCAACCAAGTAAGCCTTTGCCAAGCCAGAATTGTTGTTTTGATGCACTTACCTTTTCTTGTTTCTTTCCGATCAGGGTGGGTTCTCTAAAGGTCACTTTATCATGGACAGTGATACCTTCGTTATCAACAGTCAAGGAGTAATATCACTCAAGAGCGATGCCACCTTGGATAGAGAAACTATAGGCAATTACATTATACAGGTACAATGCAGACATCATATTCATCTCTTGAACACAACTATTCACAACATATTCATTCTAAATGGGATGCTTGCGTTGTTTTCTTTAGGTAATAGCTGTAGACCAGCCTGATGATGGTTTCAACTCCACAGCTCAGGTCAACATCACTGTTCTGGACGTCAACGATAACAACCCACAATTCCTTCCTCTCCCAGAGCGCATTGAGATTCAGGAAGGTGTTTACACTCCCTCATCACCTGGAGAGGTGTGCGTGATATCAGCCACAGACTCTGACATTGGAGAAAACGGACGTGTCGCCATCACTACTTACTCACACAGTGGACTATTCAGCTTCAGAGAGGTGAGAGGACTTACGAGAGCTGTCACTGATTCTTAGAGTGCCTATCTACATGATATCATATTTTTATAGACATTGTAATGTCAGTGTCCAGATCTTTCTCTGCTTGTACCAAAATATTTCCTTTTCTTGTAGGATGGGACTCTACTAGCTATCGAGGCGCTGGATCGGGAGACACAGGACGTGTATGATGTGGTCATTGTTGCAATGGATCATGCAATCCCACCAAGAAATGTATTAATTTCCACTTATTTGCATGATTGCATGGTGTGACTATATGTACTTTAATACAGTTTTGTAATTGTATTGACTGGAACAAACTTAGTCTCCACAACAGACGGCGTTCCCACAGACTGTTCACAGATTGGCTGTTGCATATTAAAAATAATGCAAAAACTTCTCATAATGCAAGCATCTTATTGGCAAGCTTTACGCAACAGTCTGAGAGTAACGGGTTTATCTGTCTGGCAGAATACAAATCTATGTTTGTACAAGTGATTCTAAGGAAGAACTAGTTGTTTGGTTTGTATTAGAAAGTTTGAAAGATTTTCCATGTTTTGTGTTTATTTTCTGCAGAACATCACCACAGTGAGGGTCAGTATCACAGACGTCAATGGCAACGCTCCAGTCTTCAGCTCTGACACTTACAGCAGAAGCATTCTGATTAAAGACGCCAAGGTTGGAGAAGTACTGCTGACAGTCTCTGCCACAGATAAAGATGCCGGATCCAACGCAATCATTAGCTACAGGTACAGCGCAAGACTAATATTCTGTGGCTTTAGAATCATTAATATGAAGGCAAAACCATGAAAACACTTACCTACATGCATGAATGTTGTCTTTCTGTAGTTTCTCTGAAGACTCTCCCATGGTTGCACTGGACGCTGAAACAGGAGACATCACTTTGACCTCTGACCTTAGTGAGGTCACAGAAGACACACTGCTAACCCTGACTGCTATTGCGACAGATCATGGAACACCAGCACAGTCTGATGAAGGTTTGAGTGTAACTTGTTCCCACTTATATAAATATAAAAAAGGCAGAAACATGTCTGCGAGCGCCAAGTGTTAATACAGCTGTTACTGCCTTTCAGCATTCATTCTTCATAAATTCATCCTTTCTTCTCTCTATAGCCAAAGTCTTGATTCATTTCAAAACTGACGGTTTGGCTTTTGAGAGCTCCTCTTACAACTTTACAATCAAGGAGAACGAACCTGAGGCCACGATAGTAGGCAAAGTCAAGGCATTAACAGGGAGTCCACTGGTTACAGTCAGCTATAACATGAAGTCACACAAGGATGTCTTCTCTGTGGATGGTGAGGGAATCATAAAAGCTCTCAGACCACTGGACAAGGAGGAAGAGGAGTGGTACATCCTCACAGTAGAGGCCATAGACTCCAGAACTCCTCCAAACACTCTATAGCCAAAGTCTTGATTCATTTCAAAACTGACGGTTTGGCTTTTGAGAGCTCCTCCTACAACTTTACAATCAAGGAGAACGAACCTGAGGCCACGATAGTAGGCAAAGTCAAGGCATTAACAGGGAGTCCACTGGTTACAGTCAGCTATAACATGAAGTCACACAAGGATGTCTTCTCTGTGGATGGTGAGGGAATCATAAAAGCTCTCAGACCACTGGACAAGGAGGAAGAGGAGTGGTACATCCTCACAGTAGAGGCCATAGACTCCAGAACTCCTCCAAACACTGCAGAGACAATGGTATTATTCTCACTACAAACTAAGGCCGGAAACATACTATGCAAACAAAAGTGACATATCATGAAAATCTGACTTTTTCCACGTTTGAGTGCTATAATCTGGTCCCCGGTGCATCTACCAACCCAGAAACCGTGAAAAAGAACAAACCAGTAATTTTTTGGTAAGCCTTTCTCTGCAAGCTTGTGAAAAAACAAGTGCATCAGATTTCACTCCTCCCATGACGTAGAAAGGGGATCTTATTATAATATTACCGCCCCTTAATCAGCACGTTTCCACCCAATGGCGCCACCATTTTATTTTCGCAAGTGACAATGGTGTACCAGTTGTAACTCCATTGCGAAAGTTTGAGCAAAGCATGCTAACTGTTCGGTCTTTGGCTGCACTGATGAGCACAGACCACTATTTAGAGTCCCAGCCTCAGAGCTTTATTTTCGCAAGTGACAATGGTGTACCAGTTGTAACTCCATTGCGAAAGTTTGAGCAAAGCATGCTAACTGTTCTGTCTTTGGCTGCACTGATGAGCACAGACCACTATTTAGAGTCCCAGCCTCAGAGGAGACAAGAGAGCCGTGGATTTATTGATTTATTTACTATATAGTACGCTGCTGCCACACACATCTAATATAAACATGGGATTTCTTTCCCATCTGTTTACCTTCACAGACATAACCGACTGTTTTTGTAACTCGTGTTTTTAACATAAACTTGTGTGTATTTGACAGTTTAAGCGCAATAAGATGTGAAATAACTTTTTAGTTTAGTACTCGCATGCCATGTGAAAGCCGCTTTCTGTGCATGCGCGTGCAAGAAGTTAAAACTAATATGATTTAAAACGCATGATTTCAGCCCAACAGACCTGATAATCAAAACCATACATGTTTTTTAGCAGAGTATCTGAGGAATGAGCTGTAAAGGCACAGCTCTATTCTGGAAAAGGGGGCGGGGAGCAGCAGCTCATTTGCATTTAAAGATACATGCCCGAAAACAGCATGTTTCTGCTTCCACTCAAAACAGGAATTTTCAAAATTATATAATAAATGGTCCGTGGGGTATTTCGAGTTGAAACTTCACAGACACATTCTGGGGGACACCTGAGACTTATATTACATACTGTAAAAAGGGGCATAATAGGCCTCCTATAATATCCGAACAACACATTGTCCTGTTGTACATGAGGCAACAAAGTAAACGCAGCAAGTACTTTTGTTGTATTTGAATCCTGAAAGACCTTCACAGGAGAATATGTTTCTGGCCTCGCTCTTGTACATGCCAAAGTCACATACTGACACAAGATAAAAAAATATTAGCATTGACTTTCTCTCACTTAATTTTCAGGTCAGTGGTCAGGTTGTGAATGTGAATGAGGCTCCTGTGTTTGATGCTACAATATATGAGGCCCAAATCCCCAGTAAATCTCCATACAAATTCCCTATAGTGAAGGTTCAGGTAAGTGAAAAATGTAATAAACTGCAATAATGAACCTTGGCATGTAACTTTTCCCATACGTGCTATTGGCATCAATTTTGCCTCAGATCATGCCTTATTTGGGAGATGTGGGCTGCTTTTTTTAAGTGATCAGAATTTTCTGTTCGTGTTTATAGTTTGGTGTCTGAAATGTTTCTCCCAAAAAGAAGCTAAGCTGCTAGCCAACAAACTATAACTAAACCAAATGAAAATGCTATAGACTAGGTTGCAACTGGTTGAAATGTTGTGTTTCCTTCAGGCATCAGACCCTGATGTGGGCGAGAGCTCAAAATTGCAGTATTCCCTACTGGAGCACTGTCCACTGCTGGATGTAGAGGCAAACACTGGTCAGCTCTACGTACTGGATGTATCCGGTTTTGGAGATGGTCTGTTCACCTTACAGGTTAAAGCCACTGATGAACTCGGACTGTTCACAACTACAACAGTAATGGTGAGCAGAGTTGTTTCAATGCCATTTCGATTGAAAGCCGTAAAACAGAGCCATCAATGCAATGCATTCAATGATCAAATAAACTTTTTTTGTGCTTGCCTGCAGATCAGAGTGAGAGAAAGTGCAAGTGACAACTTTGTGGTCATTCCAAAAAAGCCTATGTTCAAACTGAAGAAGATGATACCAAAGAAATGATGCCCCTGCTCGGCATGGGCTCTTTGGAGGATTGATGTGTGTACTATACAGTATTTCCAAGTCTTGAACAAAACAAAACAGAGTTTTTTGAACCAGTTCTTTTAAATAAACACAGTCCTTTCTGGTTTACAAATTAATTTAAACGATTCTCTCACAATGAATGTGTTACGGGGCTGACGAGACGTGAGACTTGCGGATCCATGTGCAAGCTTTATTTGTGGAGGCATAGGTCAGATGGCAAACAGGTATATGGAGGGCAAAACACAAGAATAGTCCTAGGGCTAGCGCAGGTCGACGGGTTCATTGGTACTTTTGAGCACTGTGTGTTTTTCCTCAGTTCTTTGTGAAAATCCTCGGTGAGAATTCTGAAGGTACAGAGGTGTTAATATCTCAACAAACTCAGAGACACTACAGCCAGAAGCTACATAAGCTTTATATCCATAGACACCTATTATTATGCCATGTAGGCTAGGTAAAAGAGTGTTTTGAATTACATGATTTTAATGCACAACATGGAGGCAAAAAACCTCCAGATGCAAAGCTTGACTGAAAGTGTAAACACAACAGTTATTTTCATTATTTTGGCGACGGATGATTAGATCTAGCATTCTGCCTGCTTTAAATCAGACAGATGCTAGTATTAAAATAAATACTAGTACATTGTATTAATAAATAAAATGAACATATTTGACAATAAAACCATGCAAATGAACAGATCATTGATTTACTAATTTGTTCGTTCATTCATTCATGGTTTTTGCTGGTATTCATTAGCGATGTAATAATTTACTAAATATTTCTGAAATGGAAAAAAGTCATATTTAATAATATAATAATAATTAGACCCACACATACACTAAATTATGATTGCACATTAGTGCCATGCTAAAAACTAAAACAAATCTAAAATTACGAGATTAAAGTCAAAATGTTTCGAGAATAAAGTCTAAATATTTTGAGAATAAAGACAAAATGTTGTGAGAATTAAGTCAAAATTATGAGAATAAAGTCAAAACTATGAGAATAAAGTCAAAATATTTTGAGAATTATGTCAAAATGTTATGAGAATGAAATCAAAATTACGAGAATAAAGTCAAAAGGTTTCGAGAACAAAGTCAAAATTATGAGAAAGTCAAAATTACGAGAATTAAATTGTAGCAATTAAAGTTATAATATTTTGAGAGTATTTTGAGAGTCTCCGCTTTCAAATTCTGTCAGTTTAAATAGAAAAAATATGTCTTGCAATGATGTTTTTTTCATGCTCTTTAACATGGCGTGACAAATCGCTGTATTCACCTCAGTTTAAGTGGCGTGTGAATCCATCATCTTTCCAATCACAATGAGACATTAGTTTCATTAAATTAAGCTATAGCCTACTGTTTTTTTTTTCATGTCTTCTGATGTGCCTTCATGTTTATATCGTGCTATAACTGCTAAATAGGAAAAACACATTTATAGTTTCCATTTAGTGATAAAAATGACAGAATTTGAAAGCTGAGTAAAATGTTGGTGTAATATATATATATATATATATATACAACACTGGCTCATACAAATAAGGAACATAACTAGTTAGCTGTGCCAAAGTCCAGCATAAAGGTCTTTTGATTTATGACAATGGATGAGTGGTTATTATTAAGGAAGGAATAATGTACTTTTTATAACTGCAAATAAAGGTCACAGATATGAACTTATATCATCCTACAGGGGTTGGTTTTACTATAATGAGCGGTTGACTGTTCAGTATTCATCTTATTACCCAGCCAATTTATGAATAAATTGTAAGTTAAATATTGATTAGAGTTTCAATTATTCCATTATGTGACAAGAAAGAGTATTACCAGAGACAAAGCACAGCGTATGAAATCAGTTGCCAGACAACAGCCAAATATACAGTTCATTGGTCATTTGACATTAGAGTGTTGCAACTGTCCAATCAGAATGAAGTATTCTGGAAGGCTGTATAATAATAAACAAGAATAGACCTAAGTGACTAAAACCATTGCATGAGAAGAAATGATAGAATGAGATAAAGTAAAGGTCGATATCAAAGGTTCAAAATCTTAGATATCCTCAAATAAACTCGTAACAAACTTCTTTCCAAAAAATCCCTCCCACATCAATCCTGCATTATTGGCCTCTATGAAGCACCTTTGATACCTGCTTACAGCAGAGGCCATAACTGTTTATGACATACAATAAAGAACAGCTCAGAGAGAGATGTTACACAAGGAATAGTCATTCTCTTCACTGCCAGGCTTCATAATACAAGCTGTGCTGACAGCGGATTATGGAAAATATGGCCTTATTTTCAATTTCTTTATATTCTCTATTTATTTTAGCTTTTCTGCATGTCCATGGCGTATGGAGTGATACTGGTAAGTCAAATTTATGCCCGTCTAATAAAGTGAAATACTTGACAAGATTTAACAGGAAGTAATATAACTTAATATTAGTATAATAGCTATATTTCAAAGTGATTCAATATTTTATTCCATGAGTTCTAAACAAGTAATATTCAATATACAACCAGACACTATGCTGATTTGATTTAGAATGGCAACTGAAGCACGTCACCAGCATATCAGCAAAAACACTGAAAATAAAAATGATGGCCAATTCTTGATTTATTGTGTGATTTAATGTTGTTTGTCATACTGAATGTAGGCTTTCAGCTGTCTGTTAAGTCTTTAAGCCAATCACAGATAAACTGTGCAGCTGGAACTAATATCAATGTAGGTAGCGTCCTGGAGGGATATGAAGGTGAGATATGCCCACATGACTTAACCAACTGAATATTAGTCCACGCTACTATTTGCAAGTAAAAAACAATAAGAACAACACTGATATTATCTAGTATTTATGTTTTAGATTGTGTGTTAGAATATGCATTTAAATGTGTATTTAACCTGACCTAAGGTGATGTAGAGATTCTCACTAATATCGGACCAAATGATCGTCTGCTTCTGGAGGCATATCTCTTTCCTATTGGTTTGGAATTTCTGGAGCTGATTTATTCTGATGGAGATTCAACCGCTACTGTACGAACCAAAAAACCTCTGGACGCTGATGAACTAAAGGAGGTTTGTTCCAGCCTCACTGATTCATTCTACTGACTTAACTAAGCTTTCTTTACCAATTCTGACATAGCTGATAATTTTTTTCACTCTTTGTATGTTTTATTTCTTCTAGCATGGAGAGAAATTATATTATTCAGTCACCTGCTCAGGAGGGGTATGTTTATTTAAACAACAACATTATGAAATAAGGCAAAGCATTATAGAAATAAATATCCAGCACATAAACCTTGACTAAAAAGTTTTGATTGTTCATTTCAGGTGCAAAACATCCGGACGGTAGACGTTCTGGACGTCAATGACAACCCTCCGATCTTCCAGAGCAAGTCATACAGCGCCACAGTGTCAGAGGTGTGTGTAATGTCACGTCTCTATACAGCTGTAGTGTGTTTGGCCACTGAGAGATCTCACTTCTCTTAGTAAACCCTGTCTTTTGCTCCAGACGACGACTGTGGGTTCAGATGTGCTCAGGGTGAGGGCTGACGATGCCGATGTCTCTCAAGAAAACAACAGAATTACATATTCAATACTGGTGAGTTTGAGTCTAATGTATGTGATATATTAGCACGAAACTGCATTACTTGTATCAGTAGCTAAATGTAAGTTCTGCCAAGTTAAATTTCCAGTAGGGCTGTCAAACATTTAATTGTGAGTCTAATTAATGGGGGGGTTATATACAGTTACAGTAAAGAAAACTAAATAATAATGTTTATTTAGTAAGCTCAGTTTCTAGTGTATGAATTTATCCATGTGCTCATTTTGATTAATCACTCACTCTATTAACAGTCTCCAGTACCAGACGACTTTGAAGTGAGACAGGACGGTAACATCAGGTTGAAACAACATCTGAACTACAACAATGTTCAACAGTACATCTTCACTGTGGAAGCTAGAGTAAAGACAAACTTTCTCGCATCCTACCAGTCCTGCATCCATATTACTTTGATTACTAAACTTCAAAGTATTTCTCTAGTAGTCTATTCTTTGAAGAAATAGTCCACACAAAAATGAAAACTCATTTATGGAACCCAAAATGTTTAGCAGAACGTCCAAGCTGCTTCCCCCCCCCCCCCATGTAAAGCAGTAACACAACACAATGTGTCTTTGCAGGATAAAGGAGAACTCAGTGACACAACAACAGTTACAATAACGGTTGAAGACTTTGACAACCTAAACCCTTATTTTGATCACAGTCTCTATGAAGCATCCATTGAGGAAAATCAGGTAAACAACGTCAGAGGAGAAGATCCATGCTTAAAACACGTCTGACCACACAAATAAAACCCTCTTTTCTGTTCATGCACAGGCAGGGCAATTGTCAGACGTCACTCCTGAGGCCATAAAAGCTCAAGATGGCGACACAGGCATCAACGAGCCTGTCGTTTACAGCATAACAGCAGGTGCTGATAACACACTACATGACATATGTCCAAATCTAAACAACCTCCTCCACCTGTTTCCAAGTTTCTCACTAAATGTGGCAAAGCTAGAGGTGAAAAGACTCATTTTAAGTCTGATAATATGGAGGGATATAAAAATCCACCAAACAAGCCACATGAAGAACTACTGTAGTAATTTATAGCAAATGTTATAGTGTTTTTGAACCATACTATAGTAAAGTACTTGAATTAATTTGTTGTGGTAATTCTATAGTTGCTGTGATAATATAACAATTACTTTACCCAATACAATACTAAGTTTTCTACAACTATAGGGTATATTATACTACAATACACTACAGTGTATTAGCGTATTATTCGCTATAGTTAATACTACAGTACGTTGTAGCATTCATTAAAGTGTTGTAAATGCTATAATGCTATAATTATAATACACTTTACTATAGTGGTTCAACAATGAACAATGCTGGGTTAAATACAACCCAGTGCTGGGTAACTGGGTAAAAGACCAAACAATTGGGTTGTTTTGACCCAGCGGTTGG